GGATGGGGCCCGGAGCCGCCTGGCTTTCGCACACAGGGCAGAGGAGTTCAAGCCACAAAGTTCGTCTCTGGAGGAGATGAGGCCCGGAGCCGCCTGGTTCCCGTAAGCACAACAGAGCCGAGAGAATCAAGCTGGCATGCAGCACGCTGGTTGCTGTTCCCAACAAAGGATGAATCTGAAACCTCCAGGGCGAGCGGAGAGCCGCTCACTCAAGGAAGTATATAGTCCGGAATGCCGTTCTTCTAGCCTGTCCCTGGGATAGCACTGCAGGCAGGCCACACCCCCGGGGAAACTCCCCCCGGGCAGACCGGCCGCTCAGAACCCAGTCATGTGATCCATCATGGGAACCACCACTCACAACTGGAGTCCAGCCAAGTTGACACATCTTCAACTATCACAGACATCATATTTAGACATCATATTTAGTAAAGTAGAGGGTCAGCAAAAAAGAGGAAGACCCTCAAGGAGAAGGATTGACACAGTGGCTGCAACAATGGGCTCCAACATAGTAATGAATATGAAGATGCAGAACCAGACAATGTTTTGTTGTGTTGTATACAGGGTGACTACGGGTCAGAACTGACTCGATGGCACCTAACAACCACAACACAGTAGTTTCAAAAAGAAAAAAAGTAAACATGCTAGACTCTTAAAAAATGTGCTTCAGATAAATTCTGGCTAAGGAGTTGTAATTAAATTAATTTGGGTTAAGAAGTATGCAAGAAGAAATGGCTGAACACTGTGATAAAAATTAGTGTATGTATCATAACAATACGTTATGATAAAATCTTAGAAATTTGAAATTATTTTGATGAGGATTAGATTAATGTATTTTTCAAGAAAACTATTATTTCAGACAGTATAAGTTAATAGTATATATGTTTTATCTGGGGATGTTTAAAATAAAAAATGGAGACGAGTTTTAAAGCACCCATTAATACACAACTGTTTACCAATTATACATCCAAATAAGCATTTAATTACATATGGGGTGTAATGCTATCTACAGACAACTATTTGAGTACACAAATTTTAACAGCCTAGTTTTAAATGATGTATACATACTATTTAATTTTTAATTTAAATTAAATATACCACTAGTTCATACTGATCTTTTCTCCTCTGGTTAAATTAATGATTTCTGTATTGCTATTGCATTACTGAGAAATTACAAGCTGAAACTTGAAATATATGACATATAGGTTTCATTTCCAGCTTGTTTTAAAGATATTTTATAATTTTATGCCTGTTCAGTAATCTTAGAAAATACAACAGAGTTCTAGTTTCAAGTGGTTTGTTAAAACAAGCTTTGCTGAAGGAAAGAAATTTGTTCACAGTTCAGTAAAAACAGAAACAAATTTAGGTTCAGAAAATTAACATAGTTTGTTTCACACTTGAGTTCAAGTCCTCATGTAACATTATAAGCGACCAGGCCACAGCCCTGTTAGGAATTCCACATTATGTACTTCTAGTCTGTAAAAAGCATCTACCATGAACTTTTACTTTTTACTTTTATGTAACTAAAAGATAAATAATGCCTACTTATTCTGAACTTGCAGCTTCCCAATAAGCTAACCCACTATTTTTCTCTGTCAAGTTTTCTGAATGTATGAATATTTGCTGACTCCATCTTTTTACTTTTACTTTACTAAGCTTGAACAAACTGGCTTCCGCTCTCACTGTTCTTACACCTATCTTATGATGTCAAAGAAGCTCAGAGTTGGAAGGACCCCTCAAATTTTCAGTGATCCGTTAACGTCTTTTGAAAAACGGAAGAGAGCTCAGTTCCTTTAGGGGTCGCCCATTCAGTTTTTGACCATGTTAAAACGTTCTTTATTCTGATTCAAAATGTACAATTCCAAAATATCCACCCACTCCTTGGAGAGAACAATCATGGAAGAAAGAAGGGCTGTTTATGCACAGGGAAACAGCTCAGGGGCAGGAGTGCATGGAGGATGGACACAGGGGAGAGGTAACTATGGGGAGGAAGTGGGAGGAGAGCTGTTGCATTGTGATAAATTATGGTCAATGTCATGAGACAAAGTGTATGTGAAATGCTGTATGGAAAGTGAATTTGCTCTGTAAATTTTCACCCAAATCACAATTTAAAAAAAAAGAGAATCCAACTAATCTCTTCTAACTTCTCCCTCAATGTCCCTGAAATAGGCAGTGTTCATTACTGGATTAATAAAAATCATTTTAACTTCTTTAAAAAAAAAGTTTGAAATACAACACAATACAAAAAGATGGAAAACATAAATGTACAGTGTAATGAATAATATAAACTGAACACTGTAGATCACTGCTTGCACCACAGAAGCCCTCTCCCCCTATGACTCTCCTTAATCATTGCATTGATCATTACTGTGCCTTAGCAACCAAAAAGAAAGAAAGAAAGAAAACCAAACTCACTGCCGTGGAGTCATCTCTGACTCATAGTGACCCATCCTTGGGTTTCTAAGGCGGTATTTCTATGTAAGTAGATTGCCCAATCTTCTCTCTGAGGAGTGGCTGGTGGGTTTGAACCATCAGCCCTCCAGTTAGCAGTCAAATGCCTTAAGCAGAGATTAGCAGTAACCAGTAATTGCTTTTCTTTGTAGTTTTACCACCATTGTTATCAGAAAACAAATTGCCATCAATTCCGACTCATTATGACCCCATGTGTCCAAACCCAAACCAAACCTACTGTTAATGAGTCAATTCCAACTCATAACAACCCTATAGTACATAGTAGAACTGTCAATAGGGTTTTCAAGGCTGTAAATCTTTACGGAAGTAGACTGCCTCATCTCTCTCTCACAGGGTGGCTAGTGAGCGGCTGGTGGGTTCGAACCGCTGACTTTTTGGATTGCAGCCCAATGCTTTAACCACTGTACCATCAGAGCTCCTTATCCCTTTTGAATACATCCTTAAGTAATGTTATCTTAGTTTTGCCTGGCTTGAATTGCACTTCATGTATTCTTCTATCAACATTGTATTTGTAAGGCTTATTCAGATTGCTGTGTAACTCTAGCTTGTTCATCTTCATTGTTCTATTTCCGGGTTTCTCAACCTTAGCGGTACTCCCATTTTGGGCTGGATAATCCTGTTGGGGGAGCTGTCCTGTACATTGTAGGATCTTTAGCAATATCCCTAACCTCTACTCACTAGATGCCAGACATGCCCCCCCCC